CGCGTGATTCGTCACGGCCACGCCCACAGCTGCAGTTGAGCAAACAAACGCCTACACCTTCACACCCACACACCCATACACCCACACAGTCACGCATTTTGCATTTTTCATTGCCAAGGCCAAGCAGTTAAATTGGAAAACGCATGCGCTTGATTTATGCGCCGCCGCAACTCGTCGCTCGTTTAATTAAAAAAGACTTTACGATGGAAAGTGTTCAAGTGTGTGTATGTGTGTGTGTGTGTGTGTGTTTGTGTTTGTAGACAAGATTCAAGACTAAATGACTATGTATATGCATATACACTTAGAGCCATGTGGGGGCGTGGGCCAAGTGGACAACTTGACTAGCAGCCCGGGGTCAACTGGCCATTAAGAGCCACTTGCTGATTACATTTTCCTAATGGTACTTCATACAGTGCAAAGCGCTTTTCCATTTGCCGTGCAACAACAACAACAACAAATGCACTTTGAAACGTTATTTATGCTGCGGTATTTATAGATATAATTAGTCTAGAGATAATGTACACTGCATTAATGATACAATTGCTTTCTATGGATTTGATATCTTCCACAAAGTTGGGGCCAATAATGTAAATAGAATTCTAGAGATCTTGTAGTGCATTACAAATTTACTTTAAAAACTAAATTGAAGAAAGAAATCCGAAAATTGTGCTCATAATATATTTTCCGAAAATGCTCATACAATGGCTATATGTATATATGCAAAATCCCATGATCAATACAAAGTTTATCTCCGTTTTATATTAACCACAATAAGAAAATTTTATATAAATAAAAAGCTATAAGGTTTAGCTCTTTGTCCCATTCCCTTCACTGAACTAAAAGCTTTCGTTTCTCTAATTTGCAGAGTTACGAGGGAATGCACTTTACATTTAAGTTTTCTCACTGCATTCTAGTAAAATACTCTCTAACCACTCAGCTCAAGCACTCGCCCTTTAGTGCTCGACAAACAATAGAGAAAAACTGGAACAGTCGTCAGTGAAGTACTTTCGATACGTCTGTGTGGAATTGAGTAACCAAATTGCCAGCTTGACTCAATGCATTTCGATTCAACGCTGGAAAATTCTTGGAAATGTAATTGTTTAAAGAACAGTTACTTTTCACTTATTGATTGCGACAGTCGAGCGCTATTGAACGGACGGACGGACGGCCAGAGGGTGCATACTGAAGACGAGGCCTTGAGTTCAGTTGCCGCTTATCAGTTCAATGATATGCCTCTGTCCGTGTATGGGTGTCTGTGTGTGTGTGTGTGTGTGTTTGGATTGTATTTATATGGCTTGGCTGAGACGCCTAGCGCCCGCATTTCTCACTGTTTGCGACCAGAATAAATGATGCCTAAACAATTGACTGATAAAGAGCATAGAGCGTATGTCTTATAAACTGTCGCCCAATCAGCCAAAGCAGCATAAATACACACACACACAAAGAGAGTCATGGCTAGATATGTTCATAACTGCAGACACACACACACACACACACACATACATTCGTACTTACATAACGTGTGGTTGTTTAAGCAGCGCAAACATTTACTAAACTTGGCATAGTTTTTCATTATTTATACGTTTTATGCATCGAAAATAGTTTACCCAAGCAAACGGGCGTATTAGTTCTGCATATAAGATCCTAGGATATGTTTTAAAAATAACTAAAGACTTTCGTTTTGACTGAGGAAACGTTACATGAGAATTGGAATAATATTTAATTTATTATATAGTATATATATATATAGTATTGTTATTCTTTACATAATATTTGCAATCTTGAAGTTTTTTAGAGAGTGTTTCATGCTATTTCCATATTCCTAACATGATCTCTTTAATGTTTAATATAAGTATATTACAAGATATCTTGATCTAAGCACACATCCACTTAACAATTACTCAAATAACCAAGGGTATCTCATAGTCAAACACAATCATATCTAGGTATTTCCTCGTCGAGCTGCAAATTGCTTGATAAACTCTTTTCAGTGTCAGACGAAAGTTGAGTAGCACAAAAGTTTTGTATTTAACGCGCCAAACTCGATATGTTACCATATAAATTTGTAAAAAAAAAACAACAAAAAAATAGAAGAAAAAAAGAAAAACAAAAACTGTACGCTCTGATAAGTTAGCGATAAGATAAACTAGCACAAAGCAAAAACAAAAAACAAAAAATACTCGCACATTTCTGCTACCTCCACGTCGAGCAGTAGTTGTTGTTGTTGTTGTTGGGGGCTGACTCAAAGCCCGCGCGACTCGGACTGCAAATAATATGCATTCACAGTTATTTGCATGTGAATGACTTTTCAATTGGAAGGGAAGCGGCGGCTGTCGTAAAGTCTAAGTACACAAAACTCGCATAATTTTGTAGCTGTTCGTCGTTTTGCAATACGCAATTGTCGTGACAAAACTTCAGACCTGATGAATCATGCCAGCCATCCATACAGTCGCTTATGAGTGCTAATGTGAACAGGGCTAATGTGGGCTGGGCAGGGCCATGATTTAAGCCATTGGCCCACGCACAACCCGAGCCACAAGAGGAACGAAGAAGAAGACGGCCAAGAAGAAGAGAAGAAATGTAAGTGCCACACCCACAAGACCCAAGGCAGAAGAAGGCTTGCCCCAAGCAATTTATCAAAGAGCAGCCGGCGCAACTGATAAGCAATTTCGTATTAAAATAAATATTTTGCAAAAATATTTTATGAAAATAGCAATAGAGCTCTGCGCTGGGCGAGCATGCCCAGCCTGAAGACACCCGACAAATGTGTTATTAATTATTCAGTATTATATTATAATTTGTATAAGCTTTACTCTGATCAACTATTCCCTATATTTATATTTATATTTAAATTAGTTTCATTTAGAGAAAGATTTACTTTAGTCTGCCTGACTAGAATATACCTAGTGCATAGCTGTACCAGGCTGTATGAATTCGACTGGAGTATACAGTTAACTCTGCCTGAGAGATCAGAGATCTTGCTTATTTTGATTAAATTCTAGGTATCTATTATAAGTTTGAGTATAGAAATTACTTCTTGTACAAATTACTTCTTATCGAAACCAAAAACTACAAAATCCATCTTGATATACATCTAAAATATATAATATAAATACAACTGTAAATATCTAAACTTTATCAAAACTAGTAGAGGCTTAGCCCTCATAGTTTCTGACTCAAATAGAACCCAACTGTGGCTGTGAATCAAGCATATTTATAGAGTGTTTCCCTTGAATGCCACAAAACAGCAATATACCCATTACTAATCAGTGTCTAATGGGTATTGTCTATTAAATGTGTTGAGTGTGTGTGTTTGTGTTTGGGCATTTCCTGTTGGTCATCAGCTTCATTTATGGTTTGCTGCTGTTTCGCTTTTGTATTCTTCAAGATTTTTCACTTTTAGTTTTCAAATCGAATCACTTAAAAGCAACAACAACAACAACAATAGCAACAAACAACGGAAGAAAGCAGCAACGTCTTTTGTTCGGGATGCAAATGCGACCCAGACAAAACCATTCCAGACGAGCTCCATTGTCTGCCTCGAATTGTTCATCAACAGAAATCATCAGATAGGGCCGATGAGGGGCGGGTGTCGAGTGGAAGCTGAATATATATGCAACCCAATCAGCTACATTATCAGCGACATCAACAACAACAACAACAACAGCGTTGAGCATTCGAACAATCTTGAGGTTGACAAAAGAAAACAAAACCATGTTTTATTAATATTATTGCACGCTCAACGACTCTTACTCTAGCCTTATCAGGGAAGTTGTAGAGAGTGTACGTAAATGCATGTAGATAAACATACATACATACATACATATATACTAAAAGTTATAGTCTATAGCCTAAACAATTTCAAATCTGTGAGCTAAAGCAAGCAAATTAAGACAATCTTAGGTTACACAAAATACATTTAATTACAAAATGTAAAGCTATTTTCTTTAGTATGCAAATGAAATTAAAACAAATGATTTAAATTTCTCCCTGTTACACAAGAACCTGTTTTTTAATTTGCACCTCAATCTCGTATTAAACCCACACGAATGATTAATAATTAGAGGGTTGTGAACTACATACAACGTATACTATATACGGGAGGTCTTTTACAGTCATAATATATGTAGTATTCGCACATATATCTATCTATCCCTCATACAAGAAAATCCATTATCAGTAATCGCATAATTTCTGTACGACTTCAGTTGAAAGTTCTTTCCAAAACTAGGTTTACGAACCTCAAAAGACAACAACTCGTCGAGTATTTAGAGAGTACCATTAAAATTGCTGCGTTTACCAACTCTGCTTCTTGAACAAAAACACTTTTTCTACCTGATTCAGTTTCTACAAAGCCAAATCTTTTGTCTTAGCGATTCACGTTACGTTTCCCAACAAAATCCCGCACGTTCGCAGCCAAAACAAAAAGAAAAAAAAATATTAGAGAAAAAAACTGTTTTAACTCTTTGCTGTATGAAATCATCAACAACAAATTCATTTTTTTAAAGTAATAAAAAATAAAGTCAACTGTAAAACTGGTTTCGAATCTTTTTTTTTTATTGTTATTATTTTCTTATTTGACTTGAGTCAGGCTAAGCCTCTGCGCGAATCTAAAATCTTTGTACAGCGTACGTTAACGTTAGCTTTAAGTACCGCAATTTGTAGTTGCAGCCACAACAATCGTAACTTTGTTGTCTTAATGTCCTTGTGGAGGAGCAGAAAAAAAAAAAAACTAAAAACTAGAAACTTTGCACGCCCACCCTGAGACACACCCAACAATGCGAATGGTAGCGCAAAGCGCAGAGCGCAAAAGGCATAGATAAACGGCATAGATGGACCCACCCTAAAAACATAGCCAACGGCAGTGTCAGCAGCAGCAGCAGCAGCGCAGCAACAATAACAAAAGCAAAACTGCATCAAGGCACGAATTTCATAGTTTTTTTTTTTCATGCCTCTCTTCTTCTTTTTTGTCTTCGCGTTCTTAGAACAAGCATACTCACATTTGTCCATGTTGCTGTTGTTGTTGTCGTTTCGCCAGGAAGCAATTGCGTCGCAGTCGCGTCGCAGCAGCAGCAGCAGCAACACCAGCCGTTGCCGTTGCCGTCGTCGTTGTCGCCGCCGTTGCCGTCAGCCGCGGCAGTTCAATGGACGGACTCCGTGTCCGTGTCTTTCGGGCCAACAACAACACGCGCTGTCGACTACTTTTCCTGTGCCGCCCCCGGTGTATCAAGGTATGAATCACGCGCGTTCTTCTGTTTACACACACACATACACACACTCACACTCTCACAGATGCACGAGAGAGGCACAGACAGAAGACAGACACGCTTATAAATTGTTTCTCTTCGTATTTTTTTACTCGGAATTAAAACGCTTTTTGCGTGTTTTATTTTGACCCTATTCGCAGCTAAAGAACCAGAATGGGAATTAATTAAAATATACATATGTATATATACATAACACAGAAAATATATAACATTAAGAAACAGCGGCAGCGCAGCGTTTTCAAGAGTCCGCACAAAATGCAGAGCCACAGGGGAGGAAGAGGCAGCGGCAGCGGCAGTCCCAGCAGAAGATAAAACAACAACAACTACAGCAAAAGCTGCGTTTATAACGGCGCACTTTACAAATTCACGTCACGTCGAATCCACTTGTATGTATTTACAACTACAACTACAACTACTGGGCCTGGCCTGAAGCTGCCTGCTTTCTCACTCAGCAGAACGTTTACTGTGCGGCCGCTGTTTTCTTCTTCTTTGCATTGCCACAGCCACTTTCGTATGCACTTTTCGCCTGCGTTTTATTTACTTTGCTTTGTTATTGATTTTCGCCATCTCACACTTAAATACACACGCACACACGCATATGCATATGCAGATGCCAACGCTAGCTAAACACTATTTTTTCTTTTACCGATTTCCACAAGTTGATAAATAGCGCAATTTGTTTGCAGAAAATTCAAACTGGATAATTCAATTTTTGGTTAATACAAGCGTTAAGCGAACGACGACACCATAAAAACAATGCCAAGTGGCCGCAAAATGAACTTATTCGACCGCACAAACAGCCGCTCGACTAAAGTGCGCGCAGAAAACTGCAGACAATGTGACCAGTGTGACCGTTTTAGTGGTAGCCCAAAAATTCTCATTCTTCGGCCATTTAACAAAAATACTAACAACAATACCAAAAAGCAAATAAGTCTAGTATTTTTAACATTTTAAATTTGTAACAATATATTTATTTAATTTATATAAATTATATATTTATTAGCTACGTTACAATAATTTTGTTGTTAAAAAGAACACCCAACCAACTGTCTAAACATCTGTCTAAACACAATATTTGATATGACAAACCGCAATTAATATTTAAATAAGAAGCTGAGCTATCACAATAGATTATATGTATCCCATTTAAAAAGACTCATTTTGTTTTTATATATCCCAAGAATTATTTTCTTTTTGTATGACTTTGAGAGTATATTGTTTATGTGATATCACTGACCAGTGATATTTTTAAATTAGCCGCTAATGTGGGTGTTGTAGTACTCGGCTTTCAGTTGGGTGTTTGATTTAAATGCTGCCCAGTTTTGGGAAAGCTATCGATAACTGAACCCACTGCAAGCTTGTGATTGAGTTATCGTTTTACCACCACGTTTTATACACAGTCGATCGCTCAACCACCACAATCTATCGCCCATCTATTATTATTAATTAAAACAACGCAGCGCGTGGAGGTGGAGAAAAATTTGTGAAAAGTGCAAAAACGCAGCGCGTGAAGGTAAAATTCAAGAAAAACGCAACGATATCATCTGAAAATAGTGCGCGAGACGTACGGCTAGCGATCGAAAATTCAGTACTCCTCAGTCCGTGCGTGCGTGTGTGTGTATATGTGTCTCGTGTATGTATGTATTTCCAATTGTGCTGGTTGGCTCTGTTTCTCTTTCTAAAAAAAAATTATATATGTATGTACAAATACATATATGTATGCATATATATCCAAGAAAATCTACAAAGAAAACGCAAGTGTGTGAGTGCATTTTGTAGCTTTGTGGAAAATCCAAAATAAAATGCCAAATGCATGCAACGGTTCATCTATTTACATATTTTTCTTCTCACTACGCGCAGTTCGTGAGTGCCAAGTGTGTGAACGAGTATGATAGTATGTGTGTGTATGTGCGTGTGTTGCTTTTCTAACTCTACGCCCCTCCCCACCGCACTCCGATGTCGTTGCTCGCAATATCTGCGCGCTCGTTACTTTACTACAAATCGGATTAAATTCTTCAGCTGCAACTGCTCCGCTCTAGCTGCACGCCCTTCTGCCATCCCTTTTCCATTCGGTCGCATTTGTGTTTGTGTGTATGCGTGCGATCGTGTACGTATGCATGTGTGCATAATTATGTGCCTCTCCCCGTTGTCCTTAACTCTGTCTCTTTCTCTCGTCGAATGCCATCTGCTGCTAATTGCCGTTATAATTCAGGTGTCAAAACTCGTCATTTTGTGGGTGTCTGAAAAATTCGCATGCAATTTGTTTAAAAACAATTGCAGCAATTACAGCGGCAGCAACAATTTGAAAATGAAAAATCAAAAGCAAACAATGGATAACAGAGGAGCAACAACAACAATAGCTGTTTATGATGGCAGCTGACGTGAGCATTAGGGTGACTCCTTTGATAATAATATGAAAATGATTTGCAGTACTGAAATTAATTTGAATTCATAATTGTCTTATAAGGAATCCGAAATATTATCGATAACAGCTGTAACGAACCAATTAATATAGACAATTGATTTTGAGAACAATTAAGCAACTGTTCTATACGTTAGTCTTCTGCATAAACGGTGTACATAAATAAAAGCTACATAAAAAGGCAGACAAACAATCTGTCAAAACAATTAGTTTACTGTCATCCAATACCATCATATGTATCACAGGCCTTCGCAGTAAAAGCCAGGTGGATCTGTTTGTACGGAGAACGCGAAATGCGATCTACGTACAGAACAAAGAATAAACAAATTTTTAATGCAAAAATGCAAACAAAAATTGTTGCAAAATCTTATCTATTAGCGCAAATAAAAGGAATTATCAAAAGTAAGCAGAGTACATAGTACTTTTAATGTCCAAATACAGTGATCATTCACGAAGAAGAATAAGAAGAAAAATCAAAGAATATTATGTAAATTTATCGATCTATTTTTCGCTTCTTACAAATGTCTGTTTGTGTGTCATCTCTATATTCTATTTGATTTGCAGTGTGGCCGTAGTTGGACTTGTTTGACTTTGTTTTTGTTTGTGCAAAATTAAAACAGAAAGATAAAAGAGCGACAACATCAAGAACAACGCGTGTGCAATGTAAATGTAAATATGAGAGATGCAAAATGTGGCACAAGTAACTGCAACAACAACTAAGACAATAGTAACAACTGCGGGTGCGCTTGTAATTAGAGGCAGCTGCTGTGCTGTCGCTGCTTCGCTCTCTGTCGCTGCCTGCGTCTCCGCTTCTGCTGCTGCTTCTGCTTCTGCTTAGAGATGAGCGTCAATGTCAGTACAGCAATAATTTCTCAAGCAGCTTAATATATGTATAAACATACATATATGAGGATGTATGTATGTATGTATATTTTGGCTTTGTCAACTATGTTACATACATACAAACTCTAATGAATTTGCATAGCTTTACATTCATTTGCGTGCATCACATTGTAATTGTTTTTATTTTACGTGATTTATTTTGAATTTTTTATTATTTATATTTATATTTTTTATTTTGATTTGACGTGCAAAAAGTTGCGCCAAACAACGTCAACGGCAGCGGCGACGTCGACGGCGTCAACGCCAGCGACGCTGAAAATTGTTGAGATTCCATTCACATTCCAGCATGCAATTCGTAGTGGATTATAGTATGTGTGTGTGTGTGGCTGTTGCTGCTGTTGTTGTTGTGGGCTGCTCCGCCTGCAGGCAGCGACTAAACAGGTGAGGCGTTGTCTATGTGCTCGTGTGCATTCCAAAAACACACACACATACACAGAGTCCAGGCATGAGCAAGGCAATAAATACAGTGATCTGCTGCTGCTGTTGTTGTTGTTGGAGCTGCTGCTGCTGCTGCTTTTTAAAAGTAAATGAACGATAAAAAAAAAGTGACCAGGCCTGGCCAGGCCAAGTCAAGCCGGGGCCCAGTTTGCTTCTGCGTCTAGTTTGAGTCGGCTAGGGCGAAGGGGTGGGCGTTTGGCCATTGATGGCAGCGCATAGAGAGTTTGAGTGCAACCCCCCCTAGCAGCGCGCCACTGTTGGCGACGTCGTCGTCGTCGTCGCTGGCTGCTGCAAGTTGCAATCGACGGCGACGACGACGACGAAAATGCAATTTAGCTCGTTTTTCTTGCTTCTTGCTTCAATTTTTTTTCTTTTCTTCTCTTTTTCCACACATTTTGAAACATGCCTGTTGCAACTGCACACACACACAGACACGTACATACATACAGATTTTTTGTGTGTGTGAGTGTATGAAAAAAGGGAAAACGAAACGAAAACACAGAGAGTGGAGCAGCAGCAGCCGCCTTGTGGGGATAAGTCGCCGAGGAATGCGCATTTTTGCAATAATAATCAGCAACTAATACTATTTTTATATTCTGCCCAGCAAGGCGAGCAAGCGAGCGAGCGAGTGAGCGAGAGCATCACTGCATCTGTATGCGTGCGTGTATGTGTGTGTGTGTGCGAGAGAGAGAGAGAAGGAGAGACAACTTGCTCTCTTCGACTGTGCTGTGGCCTGCGACTGGCATTTCTGTTATGTATTTTATTTGCTTTTCCACTTGCCTTGCATTTTGATGGCCAATTTCTTATGCTTTTTACATGCGCACGCGACTCCCCCCACACACAAACACACGCACACACACATAGTCGCATCATCTTACGCATTTTACGATAGTTTTTAGTGGACGTTTGGGCAATAGAGAAACTAACTAAAAATAGGCTCTTACATACGTTATTAACATACAACTTAACAGAGGCCATGTAATCAACAACAGCGCTGTAAATATGTGACAAACTACTTGACACATACGTACATATGTATGTATGTGTGTATGAATATTGCTGCTGGTCTCTTTGCGCTAGTCGTTCTTGGTTTTTTGTGATTTCTGTATTACCTTTGAATGCCTAATGCTCATAATAGCTCATAAAAATGTCGAAAATGCGGCAGATTGTCTTTCAAGTCAGGCAAGCAAAAATTTGGCCGCAATTAAACAATTAAAAATTCCAATAGCGTCGCATTCAACGAGCCGCTTAATAACGCATCAAAAATCCCTCTCTTACTGACTCACGCACACACACACACATATGTATGTATTTGCGCTCACAATTGTCTATGAGTGCGGGTATGTGTGTGTGTGTGCATTTGCTTTAGTTTATTTGTATTGTTAATTAGTTATTGAATATACATACATATGTATTATTTATATCTGTTTCACTCATTTTATTTTTCGGTATGTATGGAATGTGAAAATTTCCCAAATAGGCAAAAAGCTCGCCAAAGTTGTTCGGAAAGGGGCCGTGGCTCTTGGCTCTGGGGGCTGACGCTGTTGACATTTGAATTTGGCGCGTGTTTGTTTATTATCCTAAGCACCTTCAGTCTCGCTTATCTTAGAGTATAGCTAGATAGTTATATATGTACAAATGTACACATATGCCTATGTACATCCAAAGTCTCTAAATTCAACATTCCACAGCACTGTAGCAAAATGCGTAGCGTCAACAAAACAAGGCGCAAAAGTTAACTTTTGTCAACAAAATAATTAAACTCTTTAGACAGTGCAAAATATGTACACAAGCGAAATTTATGAAACGACATTTTCTGTGATATATTTACGTATGTACTTATGTATATACAACATACATACATACATTTATTCTTGGGAGCTTTATTTTTGCATTCCAACAGCTTAAATGCGAATTTCATTGAATGGAATAACAATCTAATCAGACCTTCAAAAAATTCCCATAATTATAAAAGTCAGCTTAAAAAGGAATCGAAAGGGAAGCAAACAACAACAGGAAATTCTCATAACATTATTACTCATTTACATAGTCTACTGTTAACTTCAGGCTTAACTCATTTACATACCTCTTCTGGGACAATGACTAACTTCTTTCTGCTGTTAGCAATATACTGTTAACAGTATAAGACTACATCCTTACATATTTCACAGAATATATGTATCTATGTTAAATTACAGTGTTAATTTACATACACACAAACAGCAGCAATGGCTTTTAGGTTTACTCATTTGCACTTGGCACAGTTCGCCGAAATTTTTTCGGCAATTCGGACTGTTTGTTTACATATTTGTGTAGTTGTGTGAACATATACATATCTATATGTATGCACATACATAAGTACGTATGTATGTGTTTGTTTATCAGTGGTCAGCTCGTTTCCATAGTCAGGTGCGCATGCCAATCCCTGTCGTGCCCTTGTCCCCCACAGCCTTGGGTAATTCGTCAATTTGATAGTGTGTGAATTTGATGGTTCGTCATAAAAGATTTTTAGGGAATTTATAGGCTTCCTGGAATACGATTATGACATAATGCGCCACTCGATGCATAAATTATGATCATGCGCAGCCAGACTTTCCAACTTTCCGCTTCAACAGTCACCTTTGCCAAGCGTGCAAATCATTCCAATATGACAAGTGCTGCCAATTCCATTGTGTTTAATGCCCTCTAAAAAAAGAACTGTAACAGAATGCTTAACAGAAAACTTTTTCGACTGACTGCGTGTCTCTCTTCTGACTCACGTCTTCGGCATGTAAATGTCCGCTGCTGTGTGTGTGTGTGTGTGTTAGAGTTTGTATGTGCATGAGTGATGGAGCTGTTTAGTTGCCTTAAAAACGCGTCGCATCTGCGTAGCGTGTGACAATTTTTTGTGGATACCCTGTAAATTAATTTTTATTAGTATGGGTATGAATGAATATATGTATATGTGTAAGGAGAAATAAAGTGAATTTCGATAATACGCAAAAAGAAGGATTACATATGTATATTTTATTTGAATATTAATATACATATATAGGCTATGATTGACTTCTGCATAAAGGGCGAAATATAGAATATTCTTTGTATTTTTGAGTTAACTTTTAATACAATATACATACATGCAACTGAAAAATCAATCTTTATACAGGGTATCTACCAGCTGAGCACATATGTATGCTGGAAGCACCTTTACGTTGGTTTTCCTTCACAGTTTTAGTTATTTTGTTTCGTCTGTTTTGTGTCTATTTTCAGCAAGTTGGCGACATCGATCGTGTATATTATTAATTAAAATTCCGTCAAGCCGTGTGTTGTGCTCTGCCTCGGCTAAATCAAATCAGAATCTACATCAGCCAATATACCTGCGTATGCGTGTGTGTATGTGCATATGCGCACACACATACATATTTGATATTCAAATTCATTCATCGAGTGACTTCCAGTGCCCGCCTAAAATATTAATTGTATTGCCAATGATGATGATAATGATCGTGATGATGATGATGCCAGAATTTGTGATAAAACAAAATGATAATGAAACGAAATGAATAAAAAGGGCAGCAGCAAAAAATGTGATACAAAATGAAGACTTAACAACAACAAAACACAGAAATCTGTGAATATATTTACATGCAAAATGAATTTGTGCAGCAAGCGAGCAAAAAGAAAAATGTTTTTATTATAATGCAAATGAAGTGCCTTAGTGAAGAATTTAGCGAGTGGTGAGAATACAACAACAACAATAACAAACACAACAGTGAAATAAGAAATAATAACAAAAACAAACTACGAAACGATCGCGAAACAAAAACAACGACAATAAAACCATCATAAAGCTTAATAGACGCATACTTACCTTAAGCCGCGACTAGTAAGTAGTTCATTATAAAGAGTCAACACACGTTTCAAATATAAAAGCGAAAAAAGTGCCTCAATATCAAAGCAACAACAAAAATACAAACCACAACAAAAGCAAAGAGAACAACAACAACACCGACAACAACGGCCACAAAACCACCTAAAAGAATCTGAAGAAGAGGCAGAGAAATAAAAGCTTCTTCTCTCTCTCACACACACACGCACACAGAAATAAGCATAAAGCATTTATTTAAATTAAATAGCTGTGCTGCTGCTGCTGCTGTTTAGTGAGCGCATCTGCGTCTTGCTAAGTGCGTGTGTGTGTGAGTGTGAGTGCGAGTGAGAGAGTGCGCTCGTGCGTGTGTGTGTATTCGTGTTGTGCGCGTTTGAGAGTGAGGAGGAGCATTTTGTGATATGAGTGCTAAATATCACAAAGAGAAGAAGCAGCAGCATAATGCATCCAGCGGGCGAAAAAAGGGGCGGTCGCCCCAATGATAAATATACAGCAGAAGCGCTCGAGAGCATTAAACAGGATCTAACACGATTCGAAGTACAAAATAATCATAGAAATAATCAGGTAAGCGAACTAAATGAAATAATCATAAGTAAAGTATATAAGTGTATTAGGAAATAGATAATAGAATAGATAGTACACAGACATAGTAAATATAGACATATTTACATACATATCTAGGCATTTATTTTGAGATTCGCAGAAAAACTATATTATTAACCACTGTAAACGTGATTACACTTTGCTCTAGTAAGATTCCAATTAGATTCACACTTAAGGGCTGTCTCCTCTCTCTGATATTCTTTAAAAATCATTATCCGTTACAATCCAGAGAGGGACTAAATACATGATGTAGAATACAATGAACTGCTTGCTCACATGCCCTAATCTGAAAGTCCATAAATTGCGTAAAAGTTTTATTTAATCAATGAACAAAGTCGAAAATAATCGCACAGTTTATTAAAGATTAAAATATATAATCACAGCATTAAATTGATAAAAAAAAAAAAATTAAAAAGAAAATTACTAATACAGTAATCAGAGGTTGTTCGAATCAATAAAAATGGTATCAGGGGAATTTCTTGAAATGCGAACACATTTTAAAGTTTCAGTAAACACGAGCACTGATTAGAGCATAAAAATCCATTGATGATTCACTCTGCAGCAGTTGGAGATATTGTTAAACTTAACGCAGCTAAATATGCAATGTTACAGAAAATACTAAATGGGAAATAACGGGAATTCGTTAAGTGAACACAACATGTGTCTCGCTCTCGCTTCCCCCTCCGTGCAGCTCTGCTGCTCCCTTTGCTGGTTATCGGTTTGTTTTAGTGCTTTACAAATGATGCGGCAACATTTTTCATGCGTAGAATAGAATAAGAACAGAGAAGAGACACCGAAAACACGACAAATAATAAAAAAAAAATTAACAGCTAGATAAAACGCATGTCGGACGCCGCGCAATGAAAACGAATAACAACAATAAAACAAAATACGAAAACAACAGAACAACAACTTTGTTGCGGTTGCTGCGTGGGCGCTTTATGAAAACATGTTCAGCTGATGGCACGAGCCGCAGCGTGATGCTCACCTGTGCCAGCGGCCATGTAAAATGCGGTAATAATACATCAATGTTGGCCAAGACATTTGTCACAGTTGCTGCTGCTGCTGTTGCGGCTTGCAAGTGGGCGACAGGAGTTGGCAATTTGACTGGCCAAAAGATAAAATGTTAGTCATAGAGCTGACGTGAATGGAACATTTGTGGGTGTCTGCTAGTGTGTATGTGTGTGTGCTCTGTGCGTGTGTTTGTTTGTGCTAAAAATAGCTGCACAGAGCTTGAAATGAAATTAATGAACTGCCAACGAAATGCAATTGACCTTCTGCCATTCCACAAACACACACACACACGCACATGTATACAACTGTTATACGTATGATAGCTGAGTGGGCGGCTTGCGTTGCCAGACAAAATGTCCAGCGTGCGCTCTCTCTCTGCCTCGCTCTCGCTCTCTTGCTATGCGTGAGTAAATGCGTGTGGTTTGCCTAGCATGTGTGTGTGAGTGTGCACGCGATCGGCCTGGATATTAAGCATTGACGTCACAGCTGTCAAAAGTTCGAAAAAGCATTGCTGAAAGAATGCGCACAAAGCGAAACTGCGCGAAGAGCGTAAGCATTAGAAAGAGTGCGCGAGAGCAAGGCTGCTGCTGGAGCAAAGGAGTGAGGGAGTGAGTTGCATTTGTTGCCCAATCCCACTGTACAAAATAATTCTGTGCACAATTTGCCAACACAAGTCGGCGAATAATCATTTATAAACTATGTTGCTCTTTCGCTTGGTTTATCGATTGTTTTGCCCCCAGCCAAAAGTGCAGCCTCACTCACAGTCGTGGCAGAGGCAGCGGCAGCGGCAGCGACAGCGACAGTGGCAGCGGCAGCAACTGGCCGCAAGTCATAAAAATGCTTAAATATGATCTGACGGGTCATTAATTTAAAATTTTACGATTCCACTGCCAGCTACTGTTTTGTGCGATTGTAAATTATGATCGAACGCTCGATCCATGCGATTAGCCAAACATTCCTGCGGCTAAGCCGTTCTACCAAGAATCGTACTCAAGCAGGAGTTGCAGGTTTTGAGTACGCAAGAAAAATCACAAAAAAAAAAGTGTTGCCTGCTGACGGGTTGCGGCAAATTGTTATGACCAGGCCTATTGACAGTCGCCATGTGATGCTGCAGGCTGCCGCACATTTTCCACTGGGCATCTTCATCTTTTTTCACAGTTTTCCTTTTGGCCAGCTTTCGCCGGCGGCCACGTGGCTTTTTGGCTAATTAGTCATGCTGCGTACTAAATACCAGGCCATAAGCTGCTCATATATAGTGAGCTGCTGCCACGCCCCCGGCTTCGGGCCATATATGCATGTTCGAACACGATAAATAAACACAATTTATTCATGGCTCGATCAACACTTTTCGGCCCACGCACCGACCGCCGCCGCTTATGGACGGGCGGCAGCAGCGGCAGCTACCATAAAACGATTTTTGACAAATGCTATAAATATCGAAGCGTATAATAGTCTAGCGTAGCCTAGCCTAGACACGAACCTCAGCACCCAGTCGGCCAATACGAATTCCGACCAAATCAAGGCAAAAAGATGTAGTCGAAGAAGAAAAATATCAAATAAACAAAATCAGACAGAAATATTTGTGAAACCTTACGTAGAAATAATTAAAATAACAAAACGTTCGAAATAAATTTAACAGCTAACGCCAACGTCCAACGACGACAGTGGGCTAAATGGCATTATAAAAATTAAAAAATAAATAAATGAGAGAGCGACAGCCAGAAAAAAAAATATGCATAAATAAATTAGTCAACACGCAAAGGCAATCAAATCGAACAATGCATAGCTTCCCCTTCCTCTCTCCCTCCTACTCCATCTCTCTTTCACTCTTTCAATGGACATTGTGCGCTATAGGCTTATCAAAATACACTCAAACACACACACATACATACATACACCACGCTGTCTGTAGGTACACGCATACATATGTAATCCAGCCATAAGCTCTAATTGGTTGTCATATACCTTAAAAGCTATTTATAACTCGCACACAGCCAAAACCAAAAGTATGCGCACAGTTAGATAATAAAGATCAGTTGCTCAAAATACATTTCTCATATCGCTAAGCAAGATAAATCGTGTGCTCTGTATTTGTCAAGCAAATATGGTGCAATACTATGGACTACACATAAATAGAGCTAGTTATTAATTGGGTATTATCTGTTGATTAATATATGCCTTAATACAAGTCTACTAACCTAAAATGTTGTAATTCTTTCCATACTACAATATATTAAAGAATGGTCTTTAACAAATAGTATAAGGTTCTTAGATCTTACATCTGATTGAAGTATAGCCATTTCTTTTAAATTGCAATAAATTCCCATTTCAAATCTTATATTACGATCATAATGAATTTATATGTCAAAATACGTTTCTTTTCTTATGTATTCCGATATAGATCTCTTCTAATTGGCATCGTAATTAACGAATTCATCAGAATTCCCCAATAGGGAGCACTATTTAGGTTTATTTTTGTACGTTTATGCGTTCCCCAGTGAGCGATTTTCATTTAATTTTCGGCGAGCATTTTTGTTTTTGTTTTATTTGTTGCACGTTGTGTCGCGATTTTCCCAGGAATTTTTACCTAAATAAATATACATATATCATTTTCAGCAAAAGTCAGAAATTAACATGGCCCGTCTCTAATAATAACAAAAGACAGCAAGACACAAAAAGAATCTTTTAGCATTCCCCAAAAAAATAAATATGCGAGTATTATGGGCAAATATTTACATACAAACCCACTGTGGTATATGTGTATATATATGTGTATTCTTATATGTATTCTTGCCAGTTGCCAAGAATTTTGATGTATTTTATGGCCAAATTATGTTTGTGTGTTTGGGCCAAGAAAAGCCCAACCAAAAATTTGTTCACATTTCTCATTGATTTCTGTTGGAGAATATCAAATATGTATATTTATATATACTTATACGTATATTGTCAGGTTCAGTGATTTCGGTCAAGGCGTTAAGTGTCGGGGGGCTTACGTATTGCCCAATTGGTAATTGGCGATTGGATTGCTCGGTCGCTTAAGTGGATTAGCGAAAGTGTTTGCTTTTCCCACCTACCGCAAATCCAATTTATTTTTATTTGAAAATTTGTCGTGACACGGGTTCTAACGGTTCAGCTGATTTAGTGTGCCCATTGGCTCTTTGGTTAATTCGCTATCAATTGGTTTGCTTGTAAGGCGGAACGGATCCGGATCAGGCGAGCGAACGAGCGAATGAGCGAGCGAGTGAGCGAGCGACAATCGCGTCAGCTTGTCTGCTGGGGGTCGCTTTTGTTGGGTTTCGCGTCCTTGGTTTTAATTAGTCTGGCCGCACATCAAATGTTCGCCCACTTGAGGGTTAATACATCTGCATACACGTACAGACAGACATACATATATGTATGTATGTATCTCTGCTAGAGATGCGTAGTATATATTGTTGAAAAATACAAAATATAAATATGCATAATTAATTGCATTCGCCAAGTCTTATTTGTAGCTGATGCTCTACTTGATTTGCTTTTACGTTTGTTCATTAACATTAACTGCATTGGCTTAACATTTGAACTGACATTCAATTTGATGAGCGTGCGTGACTCTGCACATATTTCATGTCACGCAGCTATCACGATATTTATGGCCATCACTCATGCAAAGTCAGTCGCACGGCAAAGTCAAAATGCGAGGATCAGACACAAAAGAAACAAGATGATGTAGTAGCATCAAAAGAATGCGTAAAACGGGTAGCAGCACCAGCACCAGCAACAGCAGCAGGCAGGCACAGAAAATAAAAGAAAAGAGGAACACACACACACATGCATACAGAAGCATGCATATGCTCTAACTGAAGGTTGCCCCGTTGTCTGTTTGCTGCAATCTGTCAGCCGGCGATCGCTTTGCTGTTGTTCGCTCAATGCGCTCTCTCCCACTCTCTCGCTCTTTGTGACTCTTTGTCTTTGTGTCTGTTTTCGTTTGCTCTCTGTGTATTTGTACATAGTATGTGTTTGTGTTTGTGTGCTCCTGACTTTTAGGAATTTCTGAACGATGGCAAGAATTTGATTTCATTGCTTTGGCAGCCGCGTTTCTTGTGCCTTTTGTTTTAGGCGCTGTTCGCATTTTTTGTTTTTATTTTGTATGCGCGCCTTTTGTTTAGTTTTTGAACTGCTACCAAGCACAGGCACACACACAAACACACAGCTGCCTCTCACACCTATGCGTATGTATATTTATATTTATACACAAATATAGTTTCTCACAGAGCAGGAATGTTGCTCTGGCAGTGGCGTAGTATGTGGGGGTTAGGATATATGTAACACAAAAGAATTTTAATTATCGTTGAAAAAAAAAGTTTGCAAATATTTTTTGTATGATATATATTAAAATCCACAAATCATTATTAAGTATTATTATTCAAAGTCAAAAGCTTAAGATATTTAAGTCTATTAATATGCCGATAGTTTTTGTTTGCAGTAGCATTAGATATTTAAGATAATTTTACATATTAAGCTATCGATCAATTTATTAATCGATTTCAATTTACAGAATTACACACCTCTGCGATACACCGCCACCAATGGCCGCAACGATGCGCCCGATTACCACCACGCAAAGCTGCCACTGGAGCCACCATCGGCATCGGCGTCTCCCTCGCCCGATGTCGTCGTGCCTCCCCCACCCGGCGCCGTGGCCGTCGTCGCCCTGCCCATGCCCACGGCCAACGGGCACGTGCCAAAGATGATCAACGCCCTGATACCGCCCAAGCTGATACGCAAGCCGAGCATCGAGCGTGACACGCCGACGCACTATCTGCGCTGCAGTCCGGCGCTCGACTCCGGCGCCGGCAGCTCTCGGTCGGACAGCCCGCACTCGCACACCCACCAGCAGCTGAGTGGGCGCGCCAGCACCGGGCAGTACTCGCCCTCGCCGAGCAGCTTCAGCGATGCGGCGCCGCCGGCGCCACCGCCGCGTAATCCCATCGGCCTGGGCAGCTCGGCGACTCCCCCGCCACCGCCACCCACCAATCAGATTTTCAAGCGGCGCTCGCCCGCCCTCAACCGGCCGGCGGCGATCACGCCCACCTGCCCGACGACGCGTGGCACCTCGCCGGTCATACCACAGAACGGGAGCGCTATCAAGGCGCAGCAGCAGCTGACGCAGCAGATGAAGGCGCTCAACATGTATCCGGGTGCGGGCAGCGGGGCCGTCGTCGAGCCACCGCCGCCCTACCTGAAGAACACGGTGGTGGTGGGCGCCGCACCGCCGCCGCCCAGCTACACCGCCTCGATGCAGTCGCGCCAGTCGCCGACGCAGTCGCAGCAGTCCGACTACCGCAAGTCGCCCAGCAGCGGCATCTACTCGGCCACCTCGGCGGGCTCGCCCAGTCCGATAACGGTGAGCAATGCCAGCGGCATCCTGCCCGCCGCGACGGGCGTGGCACGGCCCCAGCCTCGCGTCTACCAGGCGCGCACCCAGCAGCCGATCATCATGCAGAGCGTCAAGTCCACGCAGGTGCAGAAGCCGGTGCTCCAGACGGCCGTGGCGCCCCAATCGCCGGTCAGCGCCTCCGCCAGCAATTCGCCCGTGCACGTGCTCGCCGCGCCGCCCTCCTATCCGCAAAAGTCGCCGGCGGTGGTGCAGCAGCAGCAGCAAGCGGCCGCCGCTGCCCAGCAGCACTCCCCACTGCTGGTGCCCACGCCCACCGTGGTGGTGCCGGGTGCCGTGAAGCCGCCCACGCCCACAACGCCGCCACTCATGGCCAGCGCCCTGAATGGCGGCGTGGTGGGCAAGGCCGTCTGCATGGAGCCACCTTCCTATGCCAAGAGCATGCAGGCCAAGGCGGCCACAACGCCGCAGCCACAGCAGCAGCAACAACAACAGCAGCAGCAACAACAGCAGCAACAGCAACAACAGCAACAGCAGCAACAACAACAGTTGCAGGCATTGCGTGTGCTGCAGGCGCAACAGCAGCAGCAACAGTTGCAGCAGCAGCAGCAGCAACAGCTGCAGGCACAACAGCAACAGCAGCAACAGAAGGTACGTTAGTGTACAGTGAAAGCTCCCTGAAGCGAAGGCTGTTCGTTTAGAGAGTGTTCACTGTAGTCTCAAATGCTCTACGGCTTTACTAATATTATCTCATCTCTCTCATCAGGCGCTGGCCGTCAGCAGCAATGGCAATGTGAATCGGCAGCTGCCGCCGCCGCCGCCGTATCAAAGCGCACGCGTTACCACGCCGGAGTTGGCCAGCAGCAACAACAACAACAACAATAATAATAATAATCACAGCAATGTCAACCTGACGACTGAACTGAAAGCGACAAACAACAACAACAACAACATACAAATTAGCAATAGCAATTTAGCCACAACGCCGCCCATTCCGCCCGCCAAATACGGCGGAAGTGGGGGCAATGGCAACAGCTCGAGTGGCAGCAACGGCTCAACAACAACGGGAGCAGCAGCAGCTGCTGCCGCCGGGTGCAAGAAGATCAAGCATGCCTCGCCCATACCCGAGCGCAAGAAGATCTCCAAGGAGAAGGAGGAGGAGCGCAAAGAGTTTCGCATACGGCAATACTCGCCGCAGGCATTCAAATTCTTCATGGAACAGCATATCGAGAATGTGATCAAATCCTATCGCCAGCGCACGTTCCGCAAGAATCAGCTGGAGAAGGAGATGCTCAAGGTGGGCCTCTCCGACGAGACACAGATCGAGATGCGCAAGATGCTCAGCCAGAAGGAGAGCAACTACATTCGGCTCAAGCGCGCCAAGATGGACAAGAGCATGTTCGTCAAGATCAAGCCGATCGGTGTGGGCGCCTTCGGTGAGGTGACGCTGGTCCGCAAGATCGACACCTCGGATCATCTGTATGCAATGAAGACGCTGCGCAAGGCGGACGTCCTCAAGCGCAATCAGGTGGCGCATGTGAAAGCCGAACGTGATATTCTGGCCGAGGCCGACAACAATTGGGTTGTCAAGCTCTACTATAGTTTTCAGGATAAGGATAATTTATATTTCGTTATGGACTACATACCCGGTAAGCTCTGCGTGGCAAGGCCAACATTGTTGATTGTATCGAATTGAACTCTCCATTCGCAGGTGGCGACCTGATGTCGCTGCTCATCAAGCTGGGCATCTTCGAGGAGCCACTGGCACGTTTCTACATTGCCGAGGTCACCTGCGCCGTGGACAGTGTGCACAAAATGGGCTTCATTCACAGGTGTGTAGAGTGTAGAGCATCAGTACAACATCGTATTTCATAATTCATCATCATTTCCAGGGACATCAAGCCTGACAACATACTCATCGACCGGGACGGCCACATAAAGCTCACCGATTTCGGTCTTTGCACTGGGTTCAGATGGACGCACAACTCCAAATACTATCAGGAGAATGGTAGTTAGCCTCATCTTCCATATCCGTATGCCAGTTGCTCATTGTAATCCTGTACTTTTAGGCAATCATTCCCGACAGGACTCCATGGAGCCTTGGGAGGACTTTTCAGAGAATGGCACCAAGCCCACAGTGCTGGAGAGGTGGGTGCATTGATTTGACCCGTCATAAAACACATTTTCACCGTTTTCCTTGCTTGATTCCTTTGTACAGGCGACGCATGCGCGATCACCAAAGAGTCCTGGCGCACTCGCTGGTCGGCACACCCAACTATATAGCGCCGGAGGTGCTGGAACGGAGCGGCTACACGCAGCTGTGTGATTACTGGAGCGTGGGCGTCATACTCTACGAGATGCTGGTGGGTCGACCACCCTTTCTGGCCAATACCTCCATGGAAACGCAACAGAAGGTAGAGTGTAGATACTAGCTGAGTGTGCCACAGCAGCAGAGCTAACAATTATTCGATTTACAGGTTATTAACTGGGAGAAGACGCTACACATACCACCGCAGGCGAATCTATCACGCGAGGCCACGGATCTGATACGACGGCTGTGCGCCTCTGCGGATCGGCGACTGGGCAACAGTGTGGAAGAGGTCAAGTCGCATGAGTTCTTCAGGGGCATTGATTTTGCGGACATGCGCAAGCAGAAGGCGCCGTATATACCGGAGATAAAGCATCCCACAGACACGTCCAACTTTGATCCCGTTGATCCCGACAAGCTGCGCTCGAATGACTCCAATTTGAGCAGCGGCGATGATATCGATCTGAATGATAGGCAATTCCATGGATTTTTCGAATTTACCTTTAGACGATTTTTCGATGACAGACAGCAGCCGGATATGACGGATGACCAGGCACCGGTCTATGTCTGAGCACGTACAGTCAGTCAGTCAATGAATCAATCAATCAATCAATCCATTATTTTCATTGTTAGTCAATTAGTCACAAACAAACAACAAACCGCACGCACATACACACACACACACACCTAAACAGCCGTTAACAGTGTGCCAACAGCGTGTTAACAGCGGCGCTGTTAAGTCTTAACAAGTTTTATATACAAATATTCATTTAGTGTTTTAGTAGAATTTGTTGCCAAAAATGAGAAAAAACAAAACAAGTTGAGGCACTGAGCAAAAAAAAAAAAAAAAAAAAAAAAAAAAAATTTAAAATTCTGGCATTTTTTTTTTTTTTTTTTTTTTTTTTTTATTTTATATATATAAATTAGGAGTTACTGAAAAGGACAAAAACACACATCAGCAAGACGAACTATATACATATATATATATATTTATAACAAATTATAGACGGTTGGCTAGAAAAGGGACTACACATATACATACATACATACATATATATGCTTGAATGCATGAACTGAATAAATTTAAATGAAATGAGTCAAAACTTTTGATTTTTTGTTAATTAAAGATCTTGTACACTACAAACAAGTACACATACATAAACATATATAAAGAGAGATATATATATATATACAAAATATTTAAATATACAAAAATAGTTATGAATGATATTGAACGCTAAGTGTCAAATATAATGAATATTTATCTATATATATATATGTATACATAATATGAATATATGTTAAATTTATGTAGACTTTGACAAACAATTGAACCAATTTCCTGGTGCTCAAAAAGAAGTAAACATATTTACACACACACACACACCTACACACTATAAATGCCTTGAAGAGAGAATGCAAAAAACTCATAGGAGAAGCGAATTTAACTAAGCCTGGACCAATTCACAATGCTTAGTCGATGGCAACTATTTCAGCAGGCTGGATAGTTCGTTCCATGGACGGCACTCTGAAACTTTAGCTTGACAAACAAGAAATGTTTTATGTGCGCGGATCAACGCGAACCGATCGGCGCACAGCATCGCAACAAGTTAGCGATATAAGCGGGTCTTATAAGCCTAATCTACAACTCTATTTTAAATATTATGCCCGCGGGCGCGCTCTGAACTAAACTATATATATATATATATATATATATATATATATATATATATATATA